ATAAAGCAAGAAATGCACATTAAAATGATGTAAAACACAACCACATTTATTTAATAATGTATTCCAATATCAAACAGCAAATTTCAACCATGCTAAAACAGCAATTACCAAACTTAATAGAGAACAATAATAATGAAGGTCTGTGGAAATGGCGCAGGTGAGGCTGGCATGGTGGCAGTGAAAGGGGGATTTGGGGATATGTGGCAAAAGAGGTTCTTCAGTCGGATTCAGGAGTAAGAACATGAAACAGAGGATATGGCGGCCTAACCATTCGCAAGCCTTCGTTGGGAGCGTTCGGAGGGACAAGGCTTTGCATTTCGAAGAAAACTGAAGATTCAGCAAAATTACAAGAAATTGCTATGGAGGAAAAAGAAGGCTCAAACATCACAGGAATCCTAATTTGAAGATCGATAACTGGATCATCTGAAACATCTCTACTTAGTTGAAGAGGAACAACTCAGGAAGAAACTAAGAAAAGTTGACCAGCCTTGGTTAGAAGAGCAAGTTGACCAGCCTCTGCCTAAAGAACACTGCAGCATCTACCAGGCTTCGAAGATCAGTGGAGCTCCGACCGGCCTCGGCCAGAAAGACAATGTAGCAAGACAGTAAACTCCTTTAATATTTCAAAGAAAAATAAAAAGAAAACATCAAAAAGCACAAGAAGAATATGAACAGGTACAAGCTAAATAAACATGCTGCTCAGAAACAAGAATTTGAGAGACGAAAACAAGAGAGAAGAAGCTCAGTCACTACAAAAAGAAGAAAATGGAAGTGTTCAAAATATTGAGTAAAAAGACTAAAAAGGGCAAACCAAACGAATTTACAGATGGAGTATCTTCTTTGAAAAATACAAGAAAAAAATTAAATCTGATAATTTTTTCCTTACACGTTAAAATATCTGCTGTCTACTGAGTTCTTTTGTACATGTAATGGGTACCTAACAATGAACTTGATTTGTCAACAGAAACTGGATTGCTAAACTGTACTAAATATAAAATGTCCAAATATTTTTGTTCTTGTAAAAGAAACTTTTCTATATATGCTCTACCTAATATGACAGGTTTCTTATTTATTTGCCTCTGAAGGAAGGTTGGCCTGAAGAACTGAAAGAACCTTTGATTTGGGAGACAGGCTCAAGCATGTAATACTTTTGTACCATATGAAATTTGTATGAAATAAAATGTTTTGAAAACTAAAAAGAAGAATAATAATGAAGACTTATCTGCTTATTACCAGGTACTACTAACAGTTCATGATTATTGAATGCTTTTCACATTCCAGGTACTATACTAAACCTTTTCTATGGCTTCTTTTAAATTTTTTATTTTTAATTATTATGGGTACATAATAGTTGTATATATTTACAGGGTACATGTGATGTAGATTTATTTTATTTTTTTTTTTTTGAGACAGAGTCTCACTCTGTTGCCCGGGCTAGAGTGAGTGCCGTGGCGTCAGCCTAGCTCACAGCAACCTCAAACTCCTGGGCTCAAGAGATCCTTCTGCCTCAGCCTCCCGAGTAGCTGGGACTACAGGCATGCGCCATCATGCCCGGCTAATTTTTTTTTTCTCTCTCTATATATTTTTAGTTGTCCAGATCATTTCTTTCTATTTTTTAATAGAGATGGGGGTCTCGCTCTTGCTCAGGCTGGTCTCGAACTCCTGACCTTGAGCGATCCACCCGCCTCGGCCTCCCAGAGTGCTAGGATTACAGGCGTGAGCCACCGCGCCCGGCCTGGATTTATTTTTTTTAAGAAATCTCTTGAAGACTTTCTATGTGCCAGGCCCTGTGCTAAGCTCTGGAAATACAATATTAAGAGATGCATATTGAGAGATCTCTGCTTTTATCCAGCTTGCAATCTACTGAGGGATAACAAAATAATAAGCACAATTTCAAATCAGCCTAAGTACATATTCTCATATGTGCTACTAATAAAACACGGCGATGTGATTAAGGAAGGGCTATTTTAAATAGTGGGGTCTGGGCAGGCTTCTTTCAGAGGGACATTTGAGCTGAACCATACACGATGAGAATGAGACAAGCTCGCAATTATCTGGAGGAAGCACATTCCGGGCAGAGGGAACAGCAAGTGCAAAGCCCCGCAGCAGGAATAAGCTTGGCGTGTTGAAAGACAGGAAATAAAGCCAGCAAGGGCTTGAGAGTGGTGACAAGAGGGAGACTGCTAGATGAAGCCTGAGAGGTCAGCGGAGGCCACTGTGCAGGGCCTTCTAAGCCATAGTAAAGATCTTAGGTTTCATTCTAAGTAGGATAAGCCTTTGAAGGTTTTAAGCATGATCGGGTTTACAAGTGAAGATCATTCAGCCAGCTGTATGGAGACTGCACCATAGACGGGGCCACTTTCTTCATCAGCACCACAGAAATAACGCTTGTGGCTGATGAGCTTTTCAGGGGCTATGAAAAGTTTTGGGCCAGGGATAAAGGGGAAAAAAGTTCCTCAATGCCAAAACACTACAAAGTTGGAATGAAGAAATGCTTAATTAAACGTCTAGAAAGCGTAACATCGTGGCAACTGCATTCATCATTAAATTTAGTATTCATGAACAATCGAATTACATATGGAAATCATTTGAAATTTAGATTTTCTCGAATCCCAAAAATTCCCAAGTATGCCAATGACTGTCAAGAAATCAAGCCAATCATAAATGTGAATTTCATTGAAGCCAAATAATTTCAGAAGAAAAAACCTTTCAATTCTTTAACAGCCCATTTTTTTTTTTTTTTTTTCACTGAATGTGAGATGTAGATGCAAAAAGTTGCCTAGTACCATGAGTGAGGCCTTAAGACTCTAGGGAGACCACAGAGGTGGCCGGGTGAGAGATGCTGGTGGCTTGGATTGGTTGGGTGCAGGCTTACAGCCTATAGGTTTGAACACTGTCCAGGGGACCCTTGGAAAGGCTTCTCTGAGGAGAGGATATTTGAACAGAGAGACCTGAATGACAAGAAGGCACCCGCCATTCCAAGAGCTGGGAGAAGAGGTTCCCGGTAGAGTCACTGCACTGAGGGTGGCCGGTCAGATTCAAAAAGAGGGCTGGTTTGAAGTTGGAGCTGGATGGTTCAGAGAAAACAAAGCATATAGAGTCCAACAATACAGTAGCCACTTGCTCTGGGGCTCAAAGCACTCCACTGTGGCTATCTAGATTGTGAAGTGGAACTTTCCATTTTACTTCTCATTAATTAAAACGAAAAAAAAATACTGATACAAATTGAGCTCATAGAAGACTCTGAAGTATATTGGGAATAGCAGGAACATGGGAATCTACATTTTTCAACTGCAAACTTTATGAAACCCAAAAAGCCAGATCGACTATTTGCAAGCAACACGTAGATTCACATGCTCAATGACAGATGTGTTGTTAGTGTAAAACAAACATGGGATTGTGAAGCCTTCCCATTCAGTAAAAGAATGCAAGATAATCTTATTTAGCATTTTTACATACTGATCGCATGTTGAAATAATATTTCGGTTATGTTGGATTAAATGCAACACTTTTTTGTTTTTTTCCACAGACAGGGGTCTCGCTATGTTGCCCAGGCTGGTCTCGATCTCCTGGCCTCAAGCGATCCTCCCGCCTCGGCCTCCCAAAGTGTTGGGATTATAGATGTGGCCACAGTGCCCAGCCCACCATAATATTAAAATTAACTTCACCTGTTTGAGTTTTTTTTTTTTACCTTTTTTTAGAAAAAGTAACTAAAAAATGTACAATGAGGTATGTGGCTCGCATTGTTTTTCCCCTGGACAGTGATGGTCGCCCGTGGGAGCAGAGACTCTCTGGCATCTGAAGTCTTCCAGGCAGGGAGGGGGCCACGGTGGTCCGGCCCTGGTAGATGTGGGGGTGGAGAGAAGTTTCTGGACGTATTATGCAGTCATGAGCCGTGTCAGTGAATCTGCACGGACCCGCTGAACGGGCGGGGAAACGCTGCCTCGGAAGCCGAGCGGGACGGCAGATCCGGGACTCGAACCCCGGGCGGTCCCTGAACTCGAACCGCATTTTCAATACTGTCCGCTTCGAGGGGGATTCGAACGCCTCCGAGCGCCTCGAGGGGGATTCGAACCCGGCCCAACTCCCGAGGTCCCGGCCCCAGCGCGCCGCGTTACCGCCGCTCTGCCTCCCCTCGGGAGCGAGCCAAACGTTCACAACGTTCACAACGGACTCCCCGGCCGCTGGGCCTGAGAGGCCAGTAGCCCCGCTCACCTGCTGACCCACGCTGAAGCCCCAAACGCTCCTACTTTTCCCCCACACACTCCACTCAACCGCGGCAGCCCCCTACTTCCGCTCCTCTCCGGCGAATCCCCAGCCGAGCCTTCCTGTGCTCCCGCCCCCTTGCTGACAACCCAGCCAATCAACTCTCAGAAAACCAGCTTTATCCCTGCCACTCCCGCCTGCCAATCACTCCGGGCGCGAGCACCGCCCTTCCCGCCCTCTTCAGCGAGCGCCGCACGCCACCGCTCGGCCGTTGGCAGCGCTGCCCACTATGGGCTGCGTCTCCCCGGAAGGGCGGGGCGAGTGGGGGGGCGGGCCACACCGGTGCGGGAACTCTCGGGATTGGTCAGGAGGAGCCCCGCGCTCTGGCTCCGCCCACCACCGCTCTTGACATCTGAGTCGGAGACGCTGGGGATTGGTTCCCGGCGGACACACTAAGAAGCCGGGGGATGGTCCCGCCTCCCTCGCACGCCTGGAGAGGGAGCCCCGCGAATTGGTCCGGGGAGTCTGGGCGCGCTCCGGCCGGCGCTCCAGCATTGGCTGAGGGGGTGCTCGCTCCGACGGAGAGCATTTTCTGTGATTGGCCGGAGGGTGGGGCCCGCTATTTGAAGGCGGCGCGCGGACGAGGTGCGCACTTCAGTCGGCGGAGAGAGGAGGAGAGAGCCGCTTAGGTCGACTCTGACCTGCTGACCGTCCCGCCCCTACCCCCGCACCGGACCCAGACACAGACGTGGGCGCGGGCTCGGCCACCGCCATAGCTGCAGCCCGGCGAGGCGATGGCCAAGGTGTCAGTGCTGAACGTGGCGGTGCTGGAGAACCCGAGCCCGTTCCATAGCCCCTTCCGGTTCGAGATCAGCTTCGAGTGCAGTGAGGCCCTGGCGGACGGTGAGGCTGTGCCTGTGCGGAGACCCCCACCCCCGGGCCGACCCCGGCCTTCCCCTGGAGAACCGCTCCCACGGCCAACTTGATCTCCTCATAAAACCCCCTCCGCCAACCAACCCCGATCTCCCCGTGACCCCCCCTTCCCACGGCCAACCCGACCACCCCCCACCCCGCCACTCGGACCTCCTGGTGACCTCCTCCTCCACTGTCTGCCCCGACCGCCCGGTGGAGACTTCCCCAACTACGGTAACTCTCCTTTCCCCCATGGAGACCTCATCATCTCTTTCTACGGAGCTGCTCCTAGGCACCCGTTTTCTGTGGAGGGACCTTCCCAGCCTCCATTCTTTAGCCCGCGGAGACACTCTGCCACTTTGTCTTCCCTGTGGCTAGACCTCCGTTTCAGCCACCCACCTAGTTTCCCCTTGGAGACTGCCCACCCATCCTCTCTCCTTTTTGGTGAGGCACTCCCACCTCCCTTTTTCCCTATAGACCCCAATCCCCTCCTATTTTCCCCAATGGAAACCCCAGCCCTCTCCCATTTTCCCTATGGAGACCTCTCCCCCAAGCTCCCTCCCTTTTCCTGTATTAAGACCCCTCTCCCCTTTGGCAGGACCGCTCTCACCCCTCAGCTTCCCATTTGTCTCCAACAATCCCCTCCCCAACCTACTAATATTTAAACAACCCCCCCCATCGACTGCTGCTTGTTTTCTACCCCAATGCGCATACCCTAGAACCTTACTTCCCCCTTAGTTTTCCTTCAACTCCCTTTAAGCTTGCGCTCCCCCCAGGAAAAATATGGCCTGGCTTCTAGCTCTAGTGTTTTGAGAGTAACTTGGTCTTCCCAGCTCCTGTTCCCCTCTCCTCTCTGTGGGCTTGGACGAACACACTCAGATTCTAAGGGGTGGCATAGCCAGGCAGGCATTAGCCAGTTTCCGTGGTTTGCCCACCAGTTTTCGGCTGACTTACTGCAGCAAATTCTTCCATTGCTTTTGATGGCCCAACCTAGCGTGGAGTGGGCTGAGCTGTGACAAGATCCAGCTTCAAACAGTCAGCTAGGAGGTCACAGCCTTTTGTGCATCTTTTCCAAGGTGCTTCCGCAGATGTACTTATTCATCTGTGTGATTTAAAGATGGCCATGGCTCTCATCTCACAGATGAGAAGACGGGAGCCACAAAGCACAAAAGACCTTTCAAGCAAAGGTCTATACAAATCTAAAATCTAAGGTCGCCCAGGGAGCCTTGGCACCGCTAAAAGGCAAGCCTTGCTTTCAGGAGGAAGTACTCCATTAAACCATTTTTCTACTTGCTGGTTAAAAGAGAAGAGGCAGCAGCTGAGGAGGTGGAGATCTGGGAGCCTGTGAGGCAGGGGTGTGCTAACTAGCGCCTCTCAGTGGCAGGTGGCTGGTTTGCCTGCAAAACCGATCACCTGGATTAACTTGAGGCTGATACAGTGAGATGTGTGTGCGCTTCGGGTGAGCCCATGGGTCAGTGTCTCCCTGGTTTCTCTCACTCCTTTTCTAATTAAAGAGTTTACTTTTGGCTAACTATAGAATACGCCGAGTTAAATCCTTTCTGGAATAAGGCAGGGTGTAAATAAATAAAGTGTAGAATGACACTGTGGAATAAGATTTAATTTAAAAGCCAGGAGGAGATGTAAGGAGCTAATAGATTGAAGGATTCACAGTTCCCAGATGACAGGAGATCAGGTTTCAATCAGCCTGTTCGTGCTCCTTGCATTTAAAAATGGTTGCATGGTCATTGTGTAGTGCTTTTATTCCTAGGAAGCCTGTGCCCTGTGACTTTCCTAACTTATTTATAGAATTAGAACAGGAAAAACTAACTAAACCTGCTGGTCTATTTTTTTTTTTTTTTAAGAGACAGGGTCTCTCTCTGTTGCCCAGGCTGGACTGCAGTGGCCCAATCATAGCTCACTGCAGCCTCAAACTGCTGGGCTCAAGCAATTCTCCTGCCTCAGCCTCCCAAGAAGCTGGGACTATAAGCGCCTGCCACCATGCCTGGCTAATTTTTATTTTTTGTAGAGATGGGGTCTCACTATGTTGCCCAGGCTGGTCTGGAACTCCTGGCCCTGAGTGCGTCTTGCCTCGGCCTCCGAAAGTGCTGGGATTACAGGTGTGAGCCACCTCGCCCAGGCTGCTGGCTATTTTTTGATAGAAATGGAATAGCTTCTCCAAGGTCACACAGCTTTGTAGAAGTGTTGGCCCTGGAGTTCTGAGTCCATGTTCTTTATCTTAGCTCCAGTCCTGGGAAAGAAACCATTCCCTATTTTAGGGGAAGTGCATAAATGGAATGAAAAAAGAATTTGTTGGAAAACAAGAACACTCTCAAAATACATTATAGGAGAGTGCTATTATTAATTAAGCCTGGACAATAAAGCTTGTCCTGTGAGAAACTCAAGTGGCAAATCCAGACTCTTTATTTCCCTCCTGCAGTCTCTGTGACTCTGGTCAACTTGCTTTCTGTCTCTTTCTCATGTTCTTTCCATGAAGTAGAGAGAATCTGGTTCCCACCTCCCTCTCAGCCCTATCAACCGAAAATCTGACAACTTCCTTGATGCCCCATCAGGTGACCCCTATTTCCTAAGGGCTCCAAGCTCCCTTTGCTCCTTTCTCCTCAACATCTGGAAATAGATGCTTCCAAGGCATAGGCCCACATTTAATGCATCAGGTGTGTTTTTCTCCCCATTTAGTTGAGAAAGTCAACACAAACTGCTTGAATAAGTCATAGAAGCCACATGTTCTGATCCAGAGCTAGCACGCAGTGGTTATGACAACAGGGTCTTTTGTGTGATTATGAACAAAAGCAAACTGATAAACAGAAAAAAGGCCTACTAGATAAGTTTTTCTAAAAAGGCAGGAAACAGACTCTCCAGCTAGTTCCACTACAGTGATTTTTTACATGTCTTTAATCATATCATTGGTTTGGGATTTTGTTTAAACATATAGTGGAGGCCAGGTGTGGTGGCTCACGCCTGTAATCCTAGCACTCTGGGAGGCCGAGGCAGGCGGATGTTTGAGCTCAGGAGTTCGAGACCAGCCTGAGCAAGAGCGAGACCCCGTCTCTACTAAAAATAGAAAGAAATTAATTGGACAACTAAAAATATATAGAAAAAATTAGCCGGGCATGGTGGCGCATGCCTGTAGTCCCAGCTACTCGGGAGGCTGAGGCAGGAGGATCCCTTGAGCCCAGGAGTTTGAGGTTGCTGTGAGCTAGGCTGACGCCACGGCACTCGACCCAGGCAAGAGAGTGAGACTCTGTCTCAAAAAAAAAAAAACAACATGTAGTGGAGATTTGTGGGGTTTTTTGTTTTTGTTTTTTGGCGGTGGGGGGCGGAGTGGTTTGAGGCAGGGTCTCACTCTGTTGCCTGGGTTAGAGTGCAATGGTGTTCTCATAGCTCACTGCAACCTTGAACTCTTGGGCTCAAGGGATCCTCCTGTCTCAGCCTCCCGAATAGCTGGGACTACAGGCATGCACCACCATGCCCAGCTAATTTTATATATATATATTTTTAGTTGTCCAGGTAATTTCCCTCTATTTTTTTTAGTAGAGACGGGGTCCCGCTCTTGCTCAGGCTGGTCTCGAACTCCTGAGCTTGAATGATCCACCCGCCTCGGCCTCCCCGAGTGCTGGGATTACATGCGTGAGCCACCGCGCCCGGCCCCATAGATGGTTTTATCAGCTCTTCTAACTCTTGAATCAGTATCTCTCTATGACCCTTAGTTAAATTCTCCAGTTTCCGTAATTCTGGCCACGGCAGCCCTTGCAGTACGTTTTCTCTTTCTGTCAGCATCCGCACACTGTTTAGGTTTCGACAAGAAGTATTAACTTCGGCTAGACAACATCAAGAACCTGTGGGTACACTGAGGCCTGGGCTATTTCAGTCTCCTTTGTGTCTGTCTGCCCCTCCCCCCTTTGCATTAACTAATTAAATGCACCCATAGGGGACTCCACTGGTTATAGGGAAAAAGCCCTGAAGGAAATATACCAAAATGGTGAGCTGCATTGGAAAAACAGAGCTAGCTTGTTTTTCTGTTCTTCCAAAAAATTTGATTCTAGTTGCATCACTACTTGTAACAAAAATAAATCAAACTTAACTTCCTCCCTTTGCAAATAATAAGAGGCCGGAGTTTGACTGAACCCCAGTGAGTCAAAGGGTCCCCTGCAACCCACCTGCTAGGGTTCCTGAGTAGAAGGGCCCGGGTAAAACCGCAAAGGGACAGGAAGCGGGTATATTGAAGAAGGGCTCAGCTCAGGTGGCAAGTCTCTGGCCCGGAGTGCGTGTGCTTCCAAAGCTGGATGCTCTTGTGGGACATGGGACCAACGGACAGGGCAGCTTCCGAGAGTTTGCTTCCTGTGAAATCATAGCTTGTGAAACTTCCCCCAGCTGCTAGAGCTAAAGGGTTGTGTAATTTCTAAAGATCCTAAAATAAGTTTCAGGTCTCTTGCCAAGCCTCCCTGTACTAGCATGACCTTGCCTCCGATACACTTGGACCTCCTACAAGAGGCAGCGGTCACTGGGAATTTCCTGTGGTTGATTGGCAGGGTCTCCGTAAGCACTTTTCCTTTAATCTCGCGGGAGCATACCCGGGGGGCGGGGCTCCCACTACTGGATGGGATGCAAGTGAGTTAGGGTTCGGAGGCTCACCCTGTGTGATGCCACGTTTGTTGACTGAGTCCCTGTCACCCAAATGTCCATAAGTAGGCATGACTTGTGCGGGATCTGGAAGACCAGGAAACTGCTGGCTCCCCCACCGGCCTTGCCTTCCCCCTCCTCCTGGCTGGCTCTCCTGCCAGATTGGAATCCGCTGCCCTGTCCCAGTTGTCGAGGGATCTACTCCGTTCGGTGGCACCAGTCCCCGTGTGTGAAAGAGGATGCTGCTTCCTATCTCAGCACCCAGTGGGCAGAGCCCCGAAATGGCCCAACTCCCTGCCATTCCCTCCTCAGCAGGCCTGTGACACGTGCTTCTCAATTCAGCTTCTGCCAAACGGTTCACTCTCAGGCTCCGAGAGGCCCAAGTTTCCCCTCGGAGGTACAAAGTCAAGGTCACCTATCAAGCTAGGCCCACAGGAGAAATTTCCGCAGTGGAAGTAGAGCTTCCTGCCCACCCAGTGTTCAGGACTGCGGCACCTGGCACTTGGTACCCCGAGGATGTCAGGCGCTCTTGGGAATACGGGTCTTTTGATATGTTAAGGATCTGTCCACAATTAATGTGACAAAACCCTTTCCCTGCCTTCTTGCTGTCAAGCTATTTTCATTTCTTAACCCCTCTCCTCCCATGTCCCTGCAGACCTGGAGTGGAAGATCATTTACGTCGGCTCAGCTGAGAGTGAGGAGTTTGATCAGATCCTGGACTCGGTGCTGGTCGGCCCTGTCCCAGCAGGGAGACACATGTTTGTGTTTCAGGTAAGAAAGCTAGGGCCTTGGGCCTCAGCCCTTGATTCCTGGACACATGCTTTTCTTCCCAAAAGCGCACGGTGTGGTTCAGGAGTTAATAATGCAGGTTCAAATCCTAGCTCTACTCTCAGGAGCTCTCTCACCTCTCAGAGGCCCTTTAGACAGCTCCCTCCCCACCTCTGTGTCAAAGCTGTTCCCATGAGCCACTGACTTACAATCGATTGTCCTTGTTCAGGGGAGTCATGTTCTATGAAGTTGCCGTGAACACCTACTGAACCGTTGCCCCAGGGGAAACACAGGGTAGGGGCTTGAAAGTCACAATTGGTTTTTGTCAACCAATCCATACATAAACTTGCTTTATGTGTGTTTCTGTTTAAAGATACCTTATCTACTATATACTGTGGATTCATTCCTATTAAACTCACAGGCAACAGCACCGTAACTCACGCCTGAACAAAGCTTCTCCAACACGAATTTTCTCTACACCTTCTCACACCCTAGACAGCACTTCAGCACTACTCTTGGGGGCCATTGTAGACAGCAACCTCGCCAACAAAAAGCACAAAATGTGCAAAAAACACGGCACTAAGGAGACTGCAAAAAGGATGCTTGTTCACGGTATGAGAGCTGAAACGAGAAGACAGAACATTTCCTTGTTTGACCTCAGGTGGGAGCACACGCATGGAGTGACTCCAGTTTTTCTCTGCTCTGTGCACGTTTGCAACCGACCATGAAAGTGCCACAAGCATTGGTTTTAGGGTTACAAATAAATTAAGTGGCTGGGCCCAGTTGCTCATGCCTATAATCCCAGCACTCTGGGAGGATCACTTGAGGCTAGGAGTTCAAGAGCAGCCTGGGCAACATAGTGAGACCTTGTTTCTATAAGAAAAGTTAACTGGGTATGGTGGCACACACCTGTCGTCCCAGGTACTCAGGAGGCTGAGGCAGAGGATCACTAAGCCCAGGAGTTCAAGGCTGCAGTGAGCTATCATCGGGTCACTGCACTCCAGCCTGGACGACAGAGTGAGACCTTGTCTCAAAAAACAAAAAAGTGAGTGAGTAGGCAGGTTCACAAGTACAGACTGTGAGTAGTGAGGGGGGACTGTAACTCCTGAATGGCTCTCTCATGTCGCATCACCTGGGTTGTCAGAAATGTGGATTCAGAGCTCTTTAGGTCATTCTTACGCACACTAAATTTTGAAAGTTTCTGCTCACATCCACTCACTTAGCTAGGTCTCTGCTGTTACTGCCCTAATCGAAGATAACCCCCTCACCCACCACTGTCGAATCCTCCAGCAAGCCCCATCGACGCAGCAGTCAGGGCCAGCGTCCTGGGTGCGCAGCTGGGCAGCTGCACAGGGCTCCGTGCTTGGCCTGATGCTCTGCTGTCACCAATGAAACCTGATGGCTTTTGAATCGGGGGAGGCTCTTTGTTTTCACCTGCGTGGCCAGTGCTGTCCATAGCAGCACACACCCGAATCCGTCCCAGGTAGCCTGGTGACTGCCTGCCCACCTGGTCAGCCTCATCTTACGCCACTTTGCCCTTGCTCACCACACCCCTGAGCACCGCGCACTCTTCCCGCCATGTTCAATGTGCTATAGTCACTTGTGGGATTGGTGCTCTCTTCCCCATTGACTGTGAAAACTCCAGAGGGCAGAGAGTGTACGTTTTGCTCAGTAACTACACATTGCTTGGGAATCTTTGTACTCATGATGCGGAGGTGTGGGTGTAGCTAGGCTAAGGCCTGGGATGTGTCTCCCCTAGGCTGACGCCCCCAACCCATCCCTCATCCCGGAGACTGACGCTGTGGGTGTGACCGTGGTCCTCATCACCTGCACCTACCACGGACAGGAGTTCATCCGAGTGGGCTACTACGTCAACAACGAGTACCCCAACCCCGAGCTGCGGGAGAACCCGCCCCTGAAGCCAGACTTCTCTCAGGTAGGGCCCGATCTCTGCACTTCCTGCTTCAAGCGGGCCGGTTCCTTTACACTTGGGGGAGTTAAACCACTAGGAGACCAAGGTCACTTCTTAAAGTTTCCAAGTAGTGTGCTCGGTTCTTGCAGTGCAGCACTAGAACAGGAGAGAGAAAGGTCTTTGTTTCCCAGAGGCGTGCCTTGCAGAATTAAGATTAGATAGGGGCTGGGTGAGGTAGCTCACGCCTGTAATCCTAGCACTTTGGGAGGCCGAGGCGGGAGGATCGCTTGAGCTCAGGAGTTCAAGACCAACCTGAGCAAGAACAAGACCCCAGCTCTATAAAATAATAGAAAAAATTAGCCAGGCGTGGTGGCTTTTGCCTGTAGTCCCACCTTCTTGGGAGGCTGAGGCAGGAGGATCCGTTGAGTCCAGAGTTTGAGGCTACAGTGAGCTATAATGACGCCATGGCACACCAGCTGGGTCAACAGGGTCAGACCCTGTCTCAAAAAAAGAAAAAGATAGGGCCTGGCTCTAAATCACAGTGCACAGACATTCTCTGGAGTTCCGCACACGGTTGGTGCTGGTGATGGAGTGAGGTCTGCTCTTTCTGGGCTTGCGGTGGGGTTTTAGGGGAGTCCTGGCTCTGCGGGAGCAATGAGAGAGCGTGTCGACAAGGGATCATCATTCCTCTTTCTGCCCCAGCTCCAGCGGAACATCTTGGCCTCCAACCCCCGAGTAACTCGCTTTCACATCAACTGGGACAACAACACGGACAGGCCAGAGGCCATAGAGAACCAGGACCCCAACCTGGCCTGCGGCCTCCCCCTCAGCTACACTCCTATCAAGGGCCTGGGCCTCCCTGGCTACATCCCTGGCCTCCTCCCTGAGAACTCCATGGACTGCATGTGACTGCAGACACCCAGAGCCTCCCTGCACACCTGGAGGGGGCAACCAGGCCCCCCAGAGAGGGTGCGGGGCCATCTAGAGGACTTGGGGGCCATCAACTGCATCCAGACCTGTCAAACTTGGCTGGAAAGAACAGGCCTCGGGTCTGCCCCAGCCGCGGCCCAGAAGGCTCGTCTCACTTCTGCTGCACAGGCCTATAAGAAGCAGGTACTTCAGTTCTTATTAATTTTTTCTGACTTGTGTCCTTTTTTCTTTCCCACACACACTAGGAATTCCATTTGCAGGCCGCTGTGGTCCCGTGAGGACCACTGACCCAAAGTTCTTCCCATAGGCCTCCCTGGCCTGCCTAGAGGCTTTCTTGGTCAGCGCCCGTCAAGGCTCTGGCCCTGTTGGGCAAGGCTACATCATTCCTTTCTCTTCCCAAACGTCTGAGCGGACCCACCCAGCTTTCTGGTGTCACAGGCAAGGGGTCCTGGTTGGTAGGTGGACTTGGATACAATCTCAGTCCTTCTCCCAGGAGGATTTTTAGGTCTTTCAATCCAGCAGCCCCTGGAAAACTCTGCTCCCAAAGGTGCGATCAGCCTGTTGCTGAGGCACTGTGGGTGCCCCTTCCCAGTCACAGCCACCTTCCTGTTGCCACCCTAACTCGAGGTGGCTTTCCCCAGAAGCTGCCGTGGTGGGGAGGCGGTGTGTCAGTGTCAACATCGGGGCCCCCTCTGCCTCTGGCTGCCTGGACATGCCCTCTGCTAAGACCATGTGGGCTCACAGGCCACAGAGTGATTTCAGGCAAGGGGAGCAATCGGTACTCTGAAAACCTTCCCTCCGCGGTATCCTCCCCGCTCTGTGCCCCGGTCCCCTCACTGCTACGTGGATGCTGTTGCGATTGCAGTTTGTATAACAAAGAGTTTTTATATTAAAAATGTTTGGTTGGTCTAAAAATAAAAAGCACTTCATCTATACTGGCTGTTTCTGCCTTTTTCTTGGGTGGGCTGAGATGGCTTTGCGTTTCTCTCCTCGTAACATGGGGGTGGCCTCTTGCCCCATCCAGTGGGTTGGCTTTTGTCCCCTTGTGCAGCTTCTTACTCCAGTCTCGGTTGTACAGTTGTATTCCAGATTGAGGTTCGCGGAGGGGTTTTCCTTTGCCAAAACTTAAGCAAACCAGCTATTCTGTAGATAGATCATAACCAGTGATTTTTCAGACTTTGACCTTGACTCATAGGAAGAAATTAACATCATGATCCAAACACACACACACACAAAACGCTTTTATAATATTAAATTTGACTTTACCATATAACCCCACAGAAGGGCCCCGACTCTCCTTCCCTGGGACTGTGGTTGACCTGGGAACATGGGTGCAGATAGCTGCTAGATGGGGTGCCGGTTGTGCCAGTCTAAGTAGAGCAGTGAAATTGGCTTGTGAGTCTGAGCCTAGCTGGCCCTTGGGCGTCAGGAAGAGCTGGCCCCTCTGGTCCCCTGGCCCTCTTGGCACCTTGTTTGGAACTTCCTCTACTCCGGTGGTTCTCAACCAGGGGCAGTTTTGCCCCCCAGGGCACATTTAGCAATATCTGAGAGTGGTTTTGGTTGCCACAGCTAGCAGGAAGACAGAGGTGTTACTGGCATCCAGTGGGTAGAGGCTGAGGGTGCTGCTGAACACCCTAGGGTACACAAAACAACAAAACAGCTCCCCAGCAAAGAATGATCCCACCCCAAATATCAGTAGTGCGGTAGTTGGTAAACCCTGGCTGTCCTCGTGCTGCGTATGTATTGAAAGAGTACCCTGAAGGAAGGGGCATCTTGCCCCTTCTCTGCTCCTCGAGGGCAGGGTCCCTTTGCATTGCCCAGACAGGGAATCAGCCTAGCTATACTCCAGACTCCACATCTGCAGAATGGGAGTGGTGATGATAGTACCTACGTGATGCAAGTGCGGTGCGAAGTAACGATAAGTGAGGGCCAGCTCTCACTACCGGCAGGCGCCAGGGTTGGGGCCCGGCAAAGGGGCGGACACTGAGCGCCCCCTCCCGCCACCCCTTGCTCACAGGGCCCAGCATCTTCCTGCAGCTCTGGCTGTGGCCAGGGGAAACCCAGGAGGGCCCCAGCCTGGACCCCAAGCAGGCCTGGCCACTTGGCCTGGGCGCTGCTGCCCAGAGCCAGGCCTTATGAATGACGACGGCCGCCGGCCTGGCGACCTCTGACCCGCGGCGCTGGCCGCGCCCCTCCCCCGCTGGCAGGTGGACAGAGGCTGCGCCGGGAGGGCCGCGGCGCCAACCGTGGCTGGCCGACAGCCGCTGCCGCACTGGGCGGGGGCGGGGGACTGCGGCGCGCACGGGGCCGGCCGGCCACCCGCCGGGGCGGCCTCCTGGGCCTTGGAGCGCCCGCGGCGGCCCGCCAGCCTCCGCCGCCCCGCCCCGCCGGCCTGGGCCCGCAGACTGCGCCTCTGCCCCGCCCCCTCACCCCCGGATTGACACTGTACGGTCTGCTGGGGGCTGGCCGGACACCGCGCCTCCGCCAATCGCCGGCCTCACTGGGCGGACCCTGGGCCCCATCGGGCGCTCTGACCAATCAGGCGAGTCTGCCCGCCCATCTGGGGCCTCGCGAGCGCGTGAGTGGCCGGGCGTCTGCGGGCACGTCACAGTGCCATGAGCCTATGACAAAGCGGGAGGGTCGCGGAGAGCCAATGGGAGGCGGCTTGGAGCCGTCAGTCAGGACGGTCTAAGCCAATGAGTGGCGAGCTGCGGGGGCGTCACGGGCAGCAGCAGCGGACTTGGGCTGAGGTTCCCGGGCGGGCGGGCGCGGAGAGACGCGGGAAGCAGGGGCTGGGCGGGGGTCGCGGCGCCGCAGCTAGCGCAGCCAGCCCGAGGGGCCGCCGCCGCGACCGCCCAGCGCGCTCCGGGGCCGCCGGCCGCCGCCAGCACCCGCCGCGCCGCAGCTCCGGGACCGGCCCCGGCCACCGCCGCCGCGATGGGCAACGCCGCCGCCGCCAAGAAGGGCAGCGAGCAGGAGAGCGGTGAGTGCCCGGCCGTGACCCCGATCCCGGCTCCGCGCTGCCAGCCCCCTCTCTGTTCATCACCAACGGGCCCCTCCCCCCACGAGGCCCCCCCATTCCTCTTTGCTTACCCCCAGCGTCCCTTGCCCCTGCCTGTCTAGGTCTGGGACCCGAGGGCCCGCAGAGGACCCCTTGTAGGCGCCCCCTTGTTTACGGCCGTCCCCCACTGCAAAGACTGTGTCCCCCCAGCTGTCACAACCAACCATGGCACGTATGACCGCTGGAGCCCCATGTCACCACCCCACCCCCTCCTTTCCTGTCCCCTCTCTCCACATACTAATCCCCCTACCTCCTCACTCACCTCTGCCACATATGAGACCAACTGCCTGACCCCAACCCAGGTTTCTGCCACTTTGGGAGTGCAGTGGGGTCTGCCTCTGCACCGCAGGGAGCTTGGCCACTTGGTGACCACACCCCTCCCCCCTCCAGCCCCCGCCATCTTTCTCCTGCCCTTCCCCTCTTCACCTTATCATAGCACCCCCCCAGCCCCTCCTGCCCCCCTTGAGCATTTCCCCGAGCCACCTCCATCATTGTTTTTCCCTTCTGTGTCACTTGGCATGGGGGACAGGATCTTTCTGGGTCCCTCTGCCCCTCTCTCATCCCGTCACTCTCTGTCACTCTGCTTCTCTGCTTGTGCTCACTCCTCCAAGCAAGCGTCTGTCCCTGGCTGGGGTAGCAGACTGTTTATGAACCTAGAGAACTGCTTCAGTGCTTCCAAAGCCAAGTTTGAGGTAGTCTTGCTGGGGTTCATTGCGTCCTCTCTCTTGTGTTGGGTGTGAGGGGGGTGGTGGTGGCAGAGCTCCCTCACATCTCCTGCTGTGCAGTGAGCTCTAGGGTCCTTGGGGGGCCCCTCAATAAATGGTTGTTTCACAACTGAGGTCATTCACCCAGTCCCCAGGGCTTCTTCACCGGCTCCTGGCTCGGGATAAAAAGTGTCTGAGTTTAGCAGGGCTCATTCGGCTTGAACTGGGATAGTCGGAAAGAGGACTTGGAAGGGGGGACAGTTGAGGAGAGTCGTGGGTGACATCTAGTGATTTGCTTTGCCAAGGGACAGATAGATTCTCATCATTCCCAGGGCTGAGCCAGACAGAAGAGACCTGTTTCACCTCCTTTCCCCCAAATTATGTTGGCCTTTTCCAGCCAGCCAGAGAAAGAGATTCTGTATCTGGAAATGCCTTCAGAAATGGTCTTGAGCCACTTCCCCAATTCTTCCAGCTCTTAAGTTGTCATCACTTCAAGCCTAAAGCTGGACCTCATTTGGAATCCCCTTCCTGTTACCCAGAAATAGTTAGAACTGAGAAGGAAAGCCCTGTCCAGCTATGTCCTTCCCAGTTCTTGGTCTCAAACCCCAGCGTCTGAGTCCCCTGAGTACCCCTTCCCAGAAAGACATGAAAAAGGCATGAAAGCCGGGGAACTTTATTCCCACGTGGATTCAAATAGCAGAACTCAGAGTCGCGGAGCAGCTATGAAGAGGCCTGACATGTCACCAATGGGCGGGGGACAGGGAAGCAAGTGCCTGTAGTTGAGTGCTTGATGACAGAGGAGCAGGTGGGTAGTGTCCAAAAAAGGTCTCGGCATGAACTTGGAGGGGACTAGACAGAGGGGGAGGGGCCAGGCCCCCAGCAGGTGAGGCCAGCTGGGAGGTGGAAGGTGCAGGCAGACAGCTATATGTTGCAGTGACTCGGTTGAAAGTTGGGGAGTTGAAATAGTTCTGGAAAACCTTCAAGATATATCAAACACATGTGGTGAGGGATAGAAAACCACACAGGGAAAAAGATTCCCAAGAAAAAGATCAGAGGCTCCGGAAGGAACCCCTAATTCTCTCAGAGCACAAGCTGGACACCCCAGGAATGAATGATCACAATAAAACAGAGCTACTATTTATTGGGCATCTAAGATATGTCAGGCTAAATGGCATGTCACCGATGGGCAGGGGATGGGGCAAATAGATATATCTCCTCCAGTGATTTTCAAAACAGTCTATTGTCCAAAATTTCCAAACCAGCTCTCTGAGTTTGACATGGATGATATCAGAGAGGCAGGGTTCACATCCAGATCTGTCTACCAGCAAACTTCCTGGACCCCAGAATCTCCCAACTCAGACATTCTTAAGCTGCCTCCCAGATTTTTTACTCTATTCACTTATTATTTTCTTAATATAAAGTAATAAGAATTTTACTCACTTCTGTTCAGTTGTAAACTTTGAGCCCATGCTAAATAATAATATAAATGAAATCATGGGATTGCCATGCCAGCTGTATTCTCTTTGGTACACATCAAAATACAGTTGTAACTAGATTAAATGAAACATCCCTAAAATCATTTCATGTTCTGCCAATGGCACCGTGTCACACTTTGGGAAACGCCCGAAGCTGCACTTCCTCACAGAGGCTCCCAGAGAAGGAAATAGGATGAGGAAGGAAGTCCCTCTTTGCTTCGAAGCTCTCTGATTCTGGGAGGATGGAGTTAGACAAAATGTGCCCTCTTGTAACCAGGGTGGGGCAGGGGCGGGGGCAGTAGCCAGGCCAGCCTGCAGGGGGCACCTGAATTTCATGTGCTAGATGCTAGCCCGCCTGAGGTCAGAAAAATGCCCAAGCCTTAGTAGGTACCAGTTAAGCATCTGGCAGTCCCCTGCGTTGCCATCTCTGCGCCAGGGCAGGAAAGGGGTCTGCCTTCTCCCAAGAGGGCAGGGATCTAGAATGGGCTCTGAGGTGGAGTTGGGGGAATCTGCTGAGAGAGCAGAGAAAAAAGACCAAGCCTCAGGCTCTGGCCAGGATGGAAGAATTGAGAGAGGGCAGTGGCCCCACGAGGCCCCCAGGTCAGACAGCCAAGTAGGGCTCAGGTCTTGGCTGGCAATACCCCTGGGAGCTGGCCCACGGGGGACGAGGCAGAGCTGGTAAGAGGGAGCCCCTCAGAATCCCCCTAAAACTCCAGAGACAAGCAGATCCCAGCATTAAGAGCAAGGTGCCCCCAGGAGGTCCCTAGGTGGGAAGAACTGTTGCCCTCTAACATCCTATGGATCCCCGAGAGGGCCAAATGCCTTCTGTGCGTTGGCAGTTACCCAGAGGGTCTTGTCAAGGCAGCTTTTCTCCCTTATCCCAAGCGGGTCAACAGAGGCTTGGAGGGTCCTACGTGCCCCTCCCCTGCACCCATGGCCTCCACATTGGGTTTTCTCTTCCTGCCCTCACCCCACGCCTCCCTGGCTCCCCCTACAGGTGGGGCTCTGGGGATGGGCAGCCAGGCTGGTATGGCCGGTCTCATGAGCCTTCCCAGCCACCGTAGTCCAGGTGCCCTGAGAGGAGGACTGAGTGATGGCTTCCAGCTCCAACGATGGTGAGGCTGAGCCCTGTTGCTATAGCAACTTCCCAGGCACACTCTGCCCCTCAAGTCAGGGAGGGGCTGCAGTAGGGTTTGGGGAGCGGGTGAAGAGGACTCTGTGGACCCCAGGCTGGTCCTGGAAACCCTTCCCTTAACACCCCTGGGCTGTGGGGGATGGGGGGATGGTCCACCCAGAGTGGGGGTCCAGCTTAGGGACAGTGGTCCACCCAGTGCTGGGGTCCAACTCAGACTGGGGGGCCATCCAGTCCAGAATAGGGGTTGGTCCCATCCAGTGTTGGGGTCCAGCTCAGTCTGGAGGATGATGCAGCCCAGAGCATCTAGGCTAGACTGGAGGACCCGGCCAGCCTGGAGTAGGGGTCCCAGCCCGGCTGGGCACTCCTGCCCCAGAATTTCCAGGACAGCCAGGTTTTGGAGGGCAGAGAGTCTACGATCGTTGTCTGAAGGAGGTGGTTCCGGACGCTGGGCTCCTTCTGAGGGAGCCCCTAAGCCCCTTGCCCAAATTAATTCCCCCATTCCCAGGGTGAATTTCTGGATTTCTGCCTTCTTTCTGTGGCCCTGGCTTTTCGAGGGGCGTCTGGGATTTTCTCTGTGAACCCAAATGGAATCCGGACCACAGTAGAGGCTGACACCCCCAGTGTGGGAGGCGCGCGGTGGGGTGGCGGGCTCCACAGGCCAGCGGCTCCTCTTCCACTTCCTGTTGCCAGCAGAGACCACGGGTGCCGGGCACTCTCAGAGAGGGTGCCACTGGCCCTCCACTTCTTTTTGGATCTGGAAAGAAGGAGAAAGATGGTCAAGGCTGCTTCCCCCTCCCCCTTCCCTGGGTTTAGGCATTCGTTTCCGGTTTGGACTTTCATGGCTGAGAGCAGAGCCAAGCACAGGGCAAGGTTTGACAGGCCAAGGACATCGCAGGATGCCGCTCCCCTCTCCGCCCCCGCACAGGAGCAAGACAGATGTACCCATTTCTCACTCAAGATAGCAGGATTCGGGGGCTCCACATTGAGAGGGAGTTCAGGGGAAGAGATAGGGTGGCTCTTGTAGACTCCCCCCCCAGCCTTTCTCTCCAGCTGTTCTTTCGGCCAATTAAAGGAGCTCTGGGGCCTCTTAGCCCGCAGGGAGTTTCTCTTGCTGTTGCCTGAGTCTAGGCCTTAACTCCTTCCCCTCTGCCCGTTGGGCACTGCCCTGGGCACATTTGGTGCCATCCTCTGGACAGTGCAGCACCCACTGAGGAAGGCAGGGCCTGGCATCCCCGGGGCAATGAAGTCCCTGGAGAGGAAACTTAGCTTCAGCGCCCCGCCTCGGGGCACGTGGGACAGCCAGGGAGACACCCTCGGGAGAATCTTCCCACCACCTCCTGCCAAGGAGGGCCTCTGCAGACCTTGGCCAGCAGGGAGCAGGTACCTTTAAATGCTTCCGTGGCAACCAGCTCCTCCTCCCTGGTCCCCTGAGGCCTTTCCTAGGAAGCTGGCTTAGAGGCTCTGCGTTTTCCTGGTTCCCCAGCAAAGGGAAGATTCCAGGGAGAGTCCAGGGCGGCTTGGGATGGATCTGGGGTCAGGCAGCAGCGAGGGCGGGGACTCAGAGATCACCTTCCAGCTGTGGCTGCAGCTGTTCCTCTGGGCCCACCTGGCCATCCGTTTCCTGGGCTACCTGCGCCAGACCTTCTGGGGGCCTAAGCCGCAGCCAGCACCTTGAGCCAGGGGCAGAAGGGCCCCAGATCACCCCATCCCACCCACTCCTTATTCCATCCCCTGCTGGAAGAGGCAGGAAGCAGAGGTGAGTGTGGGGGCTCCTGGCTGAGGTTCCCTGCCCCTCCCCCTACTGTCCCTCTTTATCTGCCTGCCTCTCCTGGCTCTGCCCGACCCCCAACCCCATCCATCCCCAAATCTGGCAAGCCGACAGGGCTATAGTGGCACTAGAGGGGACATAGCCTGGGCCTTCCTGTGCTTTAAGAGGCCAGAGAAGGGCTGTGCTGGAGCCGGGTACCCTGTGAAGCCACTCGGTGGGGTGCCAGCAGACAGCCAGAGGCTCAGGGCCCACCGAGTCAGGGAAGAGCAGGATTCAGCAGTTCTCAGGGATGGCTAAGAGCAAAGGGGAAACAGGACCAAGCTTTCTCTTGCAAGCCCGGCTCCCCTCTGCCGCCTTGGGTGGGTGAAGGTAGAGTCCCAAGAAGGTAGCCTGCACCCTCCTTACCCACTCCAGAGTTCAGCGTGGACCCTTTACAGGTTTCCAGGGCAGGGGGTGTGCGTCAGAAAGGCTGTGCTAGCCTGGATGTGGAGTGGCCCCAGGCTCAGACAGGTCTCCCGGCAGGGTGATGGCCCAGCCTGTCGGCAGCTCAGGACTCCTGCCTGCTGGTTGCCTGTCCCCTCTCGACTCGGTCCCTCTTCTTGGGGCTTCCTGGCCACTATCTCTCCCCATCTGCCACCCTTCTAGCCCTGAGGAGGGCTGTTCTCTCTCTTCCCGAGGAAGAGCCTTGGGGACAGTGTGGGGGAGGGGCGGCTTACCCACGTGGCTGTCTGGGGTTCTTGGCAGGCAGATGACAGGCAACACAAAAGTGCAGGTGCGTGCAGGGCCCCTCAGGGTAGCAGCCGTCCCAGGAGCAGCAGGGGGTTGAGGACAGCTCTGTCTATAGGCCACCCTGGTGCATTGGGACCAACAGCTGATCCAGTAGTGAAGCAGTTAATCCCGTGGGCAGTGGAGTCAGGCAGGTGACCTGAGTCCCAATCAGTCTTCTCATCTGTACTGTGGGAATGATAGCAGCTCCCACCTGGCAGAGTGTTCTCACTGCTTCATTGAGACACCTTGTGACCCTAGGCGGTGGTTACAAGGACAACTCTGTAATGTAAGGATTCATCGGGCTGCACATTTAAGATTTTAGCACTCTGCCAGGTGCGGGGGCTTGTGCCTGTAATCTTAGCACTCTGGAAGGCTGCAGGAAGATCGCTTGAGGCCAGGAGTTCAAGACCAGCCTGAGAAAGAGTGAGACCCTGTCTCTACAAGAAATAGAAAAATTAGCTGGGCATGGTGGCGTTTGTAGTTTCAGCTACTCGGGAGGCTGAGGCAGGAGGATCACTCGAGTCCAGGAGTTTGAGGCTGCAGTGAACAATAAGGTCGCCAGTGCACTCTAGCCCGGGCGACAGAGCGAGACTCTGGCTAAAAAAAAAAAAAAAAGATTCAAGCACTCAATGCACCCCATTTTGGGGTTTTGTTTTCGTTTTTGAGACAGGATCTCACCCTGTCGCCTGGGCTAGAGTGCACTGGAGTCACCATAGCTCACTGCAGCCTCGAACTCCTGGGCTCAAGCAATCCTCCTGCCTCACCCTCCTGAGTAGCTGGGACTCCACGCATGCGCCACCACGACCGGCTCCCCCTGTATTTTATATCTCAATTTCTAAAATTACTTAAAAGTCAAATGAATAGCTGACATTTCTATGGCACTAACCTCATGCCGGCCGCTGTGCAACCCTCTTTGCCAAGAAGAACTCAATCAATCCTCAGAACCAACCTGCAAGGTCATTGTTCTTATTATCCCCGTTTTACAGATGAGGAAAACTGAGGCCCAGAGAGGTGAGGTTAGTTGCCTAAAGTCACACAGTTTGTCCAAGACCAGGCTGAGATCTGAACTCGATATTGTCCCAGGGTCCTGGCCCTTAGCCACTTTGCTGGGCCGCCTCTCAGCGTAGGCAAGAATGACCATTTTCAAGCCATATTTTCCTGGGCTGTTAAGTGAGGAGAAGGGATGAGGTAGTGTAGATGAAGCAGCCGGCCCAGGGTCCACCACGGAGGTCTTCAACGATACTGGATGGTGATGTTCGGCTCGGGGTGCTGGGGGGCAGAGGGGGGCTCCCAGCAAGGCTTCCCTTGAATCAGCTCTGGAGTGAAGGCCCCGCAATGGGCAAAGAGAGGAACAGAGCCAGCTGGCGGCCGAGACAACAGCTGAGCCCCCCAAGGGTGCCTGCTGCCCGAGCCCCAAAGGCCTCCACCCTGGGCCCAGCCTCCCCAGAGAAGGGGCCGGAGGAGCCGCCAAATCCCGAGGCTATAAATACCTCGGCTGGCGTCGTCCCTAGCCATGGAATGTCGGTCAGAACTGGGGCGAGTGGGGGTGGGCTGACCGGGGTGCCTTTCTCTGTCCCCCTGGGAGCAGCCCCTGAGTCTCCCTGTACCCCATTTTGGATAGCGTGGAGGCTGGATCCCACCTCTCTGTAGTAAGGGGAGCCCAGGCCCTGGCCGGGATCAGGGCCCCCAGGCTGCCTGCAGACTCGGCCAGGCACCCGAAGGCATTGGGACAAGTTGGGCTCTGGGTTAAGGCAGCTACACCCCACTTTTCACAAATAAGCATCTCCCCAGAACTGACCTGAGTCCGTCCTGGGGTCTCCATCTAACCCTCCCCTTTCTTCCTTTCAGTGAAAGAGTTCCTAGCTAAAGCCAAAGAAGATTTTCTTAAAAAATGGGAAAATCCCGCTCAGGTAAGCCCACCGGGCACAGAGCCCTGGGAGGGGTGAGCCAACGGCCCCCAGGCCCCTGACTGCGTCCCTGCGGCGCAGCTAGAATTTCAGCGCACTGTGGGCTCCAGACCTTCCCCCAGTCACTCCCTAGATACCCATGGGGGCTCCTGGGCGGAGGCATCTAACTGCCCTCTGCCAGGCTCCCCCACCCCAGTGGCCCCTTCCAACTGGCTGCCCCTGCCCCCAACACAGCTGCCAGCAGCTCCTGGGCCCCAGGCCAGGGCCGGATCTGGCCCCTGCCACCCGCCTTGAGGAATGTGCCCTCTGCCATCTTGTCCTCAGCCTGCTCACCCCACGTGCTCCCTGGGGCCCCCTTTGCCGGTGGCAGAGGGGACGCCCCAAACCTGGGCCCAGCAGGCAGCAATGAAGGGGTGTCCCTGACCCTCTGGACCCCTCCACCCACAGAATACAGCCCATTTGGATCACTTTGAACGAATCAAGACCCTGGGCACGGGTTCCTTCGGCCGAGTGATGCTGGTGAAACACAAGGAGATGGGGAGCCACTACGCTATGAAGATCCTCGACAAACAGAAGGTGAGACCTGCCCTCCACACGGCCCCTGTCCCCTCCGTCAGGCCCCTGCTCCAACTGTGCCCACCACTCGCCCGCTCACCAACTATTCCCCAACCCCCCTAGCGTGCCAGACCCAGGGACTAGAAGGCCCCTGTGCTGCCTTCCCAAGTCACCCCCTCCAGGCCGGCCACCAGTGCAAAGCCAGGCCCTTTGACACAGGGTCAGACACCAGCCAGTATGGAGGAGGCCAGAAGTTCTCCTGGGGGAAGCAGCGTTTTCATAGACATTCTTTCCATAAGTATTTTCAAGAGCAGCACCGTCCAACAGAGATGTAACTCGGGCCACAGAAGGGATTTTAAATTCTGTAGTTGCTCCATCAAAAAAGGAAAGAGCCCAGGCATGTTGGTGTGCACCTGTAGTCCCAGCTACTCGGGAGGCTGAAGACGGGAGGATCCTTTGAGCCCAGGAGTTTGAGGCTGCGGTGCGCTGTGATCGCACCACTGTACTCCAGCTTAGGCGACAGAGTGAAACTCTGTCTCAAAAAAAAAAAAAAAAAAAAATGTGAAATGAGGCCGGGCCACGGTGGCATGCACCTGTTGTCTCAGCGGCTCGAGGCCAGGAGTTCCAATCCAGCCTAGGCAACATAGTGAGACCCCCATCTCTAAAACAAGCAAAATTTTTCTAATTAAAAAAAGTAAGCAGACGGGCTCGGGCCTCTAATCCCAGCACTTTGGGAGGCCAAGGCTGGAAGGTCGCTTGAGGCCAAGAGTTCAAGACCAGCCTGGGCAACATAGCGAGACCCCCATCTCTACAAAAAATTTTTAAAAAGTAAAAAGAAAGAGGTGAGATTCATTTTAACAGCGTGTTTTGATTAAGTCACCATGTCTACACTATTACCATTTCCACGTTATCAATGTGAAAATATCATTAATGAGACATTTTCCATTCTTATTTTTTTTTTTTTTGGCACTAAAGTGTCTTCAAAACCCAGTGTCTATTCTATACTTAGAACAGGTCTCCAATCAGCTGGTAAATTTTCTCTGCAAAGAGGAGAAAAAGTACCAAAGATGAACAGGCACATTTGGGTGCCGGAGCTGTCCCAGCCCCGCTTACCAGTTATCCAGGGCCTACACCAAGTATTAATTTCTAAATTTTTGTTGTAGATACTTAATTTTTTTTTTTTTTTTGGTAAAAAAAAAGTCTTGCTTTGTCACCCAGGCTAGAGTGCAGTGGCACGATCAAAACTCGAAATTCGGTTCCCTAGCTAAGTGGCCACATTTCAAGGGCTTAGTGGCCACCTGTGGCTGGTGGGAATCGAGAAGTGCCAGTGTAGACCCTGAGGACACAGCGGGGTGAGCGAAGTGGTTCACGGCCAACCAGGGGGCCAGGCTGCCTGTGCGTGACAAGACGGCCTGACGTCGGCTAGCTGTGTGACCTTGGGCAAGTCACTTCCCCTCTCTGTGCCTGGGCTTCCAAACTGGTGTGCTCACAGCATGTCCTTCTCGGGGCTTCTGTCATGATTCAGCTGGAGACTACGTGCAAGGTGCCTGCCCGTGTGGGGACAGCTGATAGCTGAGGGGCAATTATTAGCCGGAGGCTCGGATTTGTGTGTGCAGGGTTCGAGACAAGGGGAAGGCGGTTTTGGCTCAGCCGCCCCTTGCTCCAGGAAGCCTTCTCGGAGTCCCCTTTCCCCAGGCTGCGCCTTCTCTGGGCATCTGCAAGCCCGAGCGTCCCCCACTATGGCCGTGGCCCCTCTGGGCTGTGAGGCCCTGGACTCCATGCCACGTGAGGACAGCAGCCTCTGTCCTCCTCCTCGCTGTGTCCTCAGCACCCAGCCCAGGGCCCGACAGGCCACAGGCACACAAATGATTCCAGCTGAAGAGACCTGCCCGAACCTGGCACCCCTAGTTCCAGGCATCGGGGGACACGAGGCCCCTCTAACCCCGCTCTCCTCTCTGCCCTCCCCTCCCACCCGCACAGGTGGTGAAACTGAAACAGATCGAGCACACCCTGAATGAAAAACGCATCCTGCAAGCAGTCAACTTTCCGTTCCTCGTCAAACTCGAGTTCTCCTTCAAGGTGGGGTCCAAGCGGCCAAGGGGTCAGGGTCACTGCATTGGGTCCCAGCCGTCGGGTGCGGCCTCTCGGTTCCCAGGGCTGGGGTTGGGAACAAGGACAACCAGTGGCTGTCCACTTCTGGGGAAGAAGGGGCTCCCCGCAGGAGGGACGCCGGGACACAGGGCCTAGGCGGGGGCTCCGGCAGACCCAAGCTCAGCTCCCGGGCTGGCCAATTTCTAGCTCCGTTTACCTTGGGCGAGTTACCCAACCTCAGTAACACGCCTCAAAATCGCCAGCCCATTTGCAGCAAGACCCTGACCTATAGCCACGAGCCTAGGTTCAGTTCCCAGCTCTCAACTTCCTGAATGCATGACCCTGGGCAAGGGACTGCATCTCCCTGAGCCTCAGTTTTCTCATCTGTTAAATGGGAATCATAACAGCTTCCACCCAGTGGGGTTGTCATGACAGTTCTGAGCACATCGCGAGCGCCCTTGGGAGCTGTTTTGGGTGTCATCCAAAGCTGTGGTCCTGACAGCCAGGAAAGGCCACACGGGGCCGGCTTCCCGGGCTTCCACCCCAGGCAGGCACACAAGCCTATGCTCAGGACCCCACACCTAATTTAATACCCTACTTCTGCCATCTTGAAATCCGTAGCAATTTTTAACAAGGGGACACAGATTTTTATTTTGGGCCCTGCAAGTTCTGTAGCCCATCCTGGTCCCATTTTACAGGTGACAAAACTGTGGCCCCACAAGCCTTACTTGGGTTCCCAGACTCGAGCTACTAGAGTCCCCTCTGTCTCCAGCCAGGACAAACTGGCCAGGTCCCTACCTGCCTCCGAGCTGGCCCACACTTTCGCCCCCTATAACACAGCAGGATCAGGGCTGCCCCTTCTTCCTCGTGGGCAGGATGAGATTCAAAGTGAGGTTCAGCCAGCACGGGGCCTGGCCCTCGGAACGTGCTTTGTACGGAAAGCCAGGATCATTACTGTCCTTTAATGTCTGAACACCTGCCAGGTGAGGCCCCTGCGGCCCTCAGATGGGACTCAGGGCTCAGGGAATGGGGCCCTGATCAGCCACCGCTTCCCACAGGACAACACAAACTTATACATGGTCATGGAATACGTGCCCGGTGGGGAGATGTTCTCACATCTACGGCGGATCGGAAGGTTCAGGTAAGCGGGCCACCCAGCGATCCAGGCTCTCGGGGGGTGTCCACCCACAGGCGGTGTCCCACCATCTGGGAACACAGAGGGGTCCGGCACGTTAGAACATTCAAGCGGTCGCTCCAGGTCCCTGTGGGTTTTTGTTTCTACTATGCTGAGGAATAGGCAATGTGTCAACTGCCACAAAACAAAACAGACAGACCAAACATGGTGACTTAGGTGTCAACATTTAAGTTGGCAAATCTATGCTTTTTTTTTTTTTTTTTTTGAGCCCAGCTCAGTGGTGCAAGCTTATAGTCCCAGCTCCTCAAAAGGCTGAGGTGGTTCTCACAGCCCTGGAGGCTCGGGGGCAAAAAAAAAAAAAAAAAAAGAAGGTGGCTGAGGCAGGAGGATCGCTTGAGGCCATGAGTTCAAGACCAGCCTAGGCCACATAGCAAGACCCTGTCTCTTATAATTAATTAATTTTATACTATTACTTTATTTTATAAACATAGTTACACTTTAAATACAATAAAATACACACATCTTCAATATTCCATTCCATGAGTTTTGACAATTGTATATTCCTATGTAACCCCCACCCAAAACATCACATAGAACATTTCCATCACCCCAGAAAATCCTCTCAAATCCCTGTCCTTTCTGGCTCCAAACACCATGCATTTGTTTTGTCTGGGTTTGGACTTTTCATGTTCTTTTGTGTCTTTCTTCTTTTGCTTGACAGAATCGGTTAGAAGTTCAGCCACCTCACTGGGTAGATCATAGTGTGTCCTATTGGTGGTGGTGGCGTTGAGTGGTTTTCCCTTGTATGAATATATCACAATCTGTGATTCCATTCTCCCGGTGATGGACATTTGAGCTGTTTCCAGTGTCAAGCTATCTATGAATATCTCTGTTGTGCATTTTTGTCCATTTTTTTTTTTCTTGTAAGAGATGGGGTCTTACTCTGTCGCCAAGGCTGGAGTGGAGTGCAGTGGTGAGATCATAGCTCACTGCAACCTCAAACTCCTGGGCTCATGTGATCCTCCTGCCTCAGCGTCCTGAGTAGCTGGGACTGCAGGTGTGTGCCACTACGCCCAGCTAATTTTTCTATTTTTTGTAGAGATGGGGTCTCGCTATGTTGCCCAGGCTGGTCTTGAACTCCCAGGCTCAAGCAATCCTCTTGCCTCAGCCTCCCAGTTAGCTGGGACTACAGGCACGTGCCACCATGCTAGCTAATTTTTTTATTTTTTGTAGACACAAAGTCTTGCTATGTTGCGCAGGCTGGTCTCAAACTCCTGGCCTCAAGCCATCCTCCTGCCTCAGCCTCCCAAGTAGCTGGGATTACGTATGGCCAGGAGCCACCATGCCCAGTTGCTTCTCCATTTCTGTTAGCTGGATTGGGGGTGTCTTCCTCTGGGGCTGGCTCTGCGGGCCCACCTGCTGGACCATTTGGGGGTGTGGCCACCGACACTCACCTCCCCACTTGTCCCCACCAGCGAGCCTCATGCCCGTTTCTACGCGGCCCAGATCGTCCTGACCTTCGAGTACCTACACTCGCTCGATCTCATCTACCGGGACCTAAAGCCGGAGAACCTCCTCATTGACCAGCAGGGCTACATTCAGGTGCCCACCGGGCTGGGCGAGGGGCAGCCCCAGGTGGCCACGGCCTGGACCCTCCTTCCTGGCCAACCGCTCATTCTTGTGCCTGCAGGTGACGGACTTCGGTTTCGCCAAGCGCGTGAAGGGCCGCACCTGGACCTTGTGCGGGACCCCCGAGTACCTGGCCCCTGAGATTATCCTGAGCAAAGTAGGCGCTCCCCCAGCCCACCCCTTGTCCTGAGGCCGGCTCTGACCTCGGTCCCTCCTCACCCCACACCCCCTCAACCCCATCTCGCTCCAGGGCTACAACAAGGCCGTGGACTGGTGGGCCCTGGGGGTTCTCATCTATGAGATGGCTGCTGGCTACCCGCCCTTCTTCGCCGACCAGCCTATCCAGATCTATGAGAAGATCGTCTCTGGGAAGGTGAGGCCCAGATGCCGGAAGGGACAAGCAGACCCTTCCCCGCCCACCCGTCCCGCTGTCTGCGGATCCCTGCTTGCTGGAATAATCTAGAAGCTCATTATCTAGAAGCCAACTCCTTGAGCCGCCTCGATGTCTAGCCCCTGACCCGCAGTGCCAGAATCCCAATGGCTTCCAAAACCCCAAGCCTCATCGGAACTCCTTGGCCACGGAACTCGTGCTGCCCCGACACCAGGCCGTTCTCGCCTTTGCTTGTCCCACCTAGAATGAGTTTTCACAAGTTTCAAGGCAGAAAAGCGAATGTGTTTGGGTCCCAGGTGCCACCCCTGGTCCCCCCAGGGAGTCCCATCACTTGGGGTATGCGGCCCACGCCTGCTCTCCAAGTGCAGACGGGACCAGCTCTGAGGGTCTGGGCAAGGGGTGGCAGAACCGTCTGAGTTCTCGTCTACAAAGTGCACCAAGGGATCCCCTCTGCCAGGTCCTGGATTCACCCCCTCGGTCATACCCCGAGAGAGTGGCACCCCCGTGGGAGAGGTGAGGAAACTGAGGCTTGGAAAGGGGACGTGTCTGGTCCAGGATCACACCTCGGCGAGTAAGCGGAGGTGTGATCGTGAGCAGCAGCTCAGCCACCTCCCTCCACCAGGTCCAGCGCCCCGTGTGGGGGAGCTGCTGGTTGGCCCAGAATCACCAGAAAACAGCGGGAACAGACGCAAGCTCAGCCTTGGGTGGGCTGACCTGGCTGGAGGCCCAGCTCTGCCACCTATGGGCTGTGAAACTTCGGGCAAGTCGCTTCACTCCTCTGAGCTTCCTCCTAGCCATCTGGGAACCAGGGAGCTAGCCATGTGCCCCTCAGGGAGGGTAGAAGAAGTCACCAGCTTCAAAGTGGGGGCACGCTGGCTGGACACAGAGTCCACATCACTACGAGGGAAAGATGAGGCATCTGCCACCGGGCAGAATAGAAATTCCCAGAAAATGGCCAAGAGTGGGGAAAAAAAAAAAAAGAAAAAGCCATAGAAGTCTCCGTGGGGGAAGAGAGGAAGACGAGCATAACTCCCTTCTTTGTAGCATTTTTCCAAGTCCCACGCACCCTCGGCGGCATTATCTCCCTCAACCAACCCTGGAATATCTGCCCCATGTCGGACAGACATGCGCAGACCCAGAGAGGTTAAGGGCCGTGGCCAAGGTCACACAACTTGTCAGAGGCAGAGCAGCGACTAGAAGTTGTTTCTTGCAGCTGTCTATCCGGTGACTACTTGCATACAAGGCCATGGGCTCAGAGCTTTGGGGGAAACTTTCCGGAAGAGTTGAGCTGGGCCGTAAAAAATGGAAGAGGCTTAGCTATGAAGAGAGCGGGGGCGGGGGGAGTTTCTCTCATGAGCGTGAAGGTTTCAGAAGTCTCCAGACCCCAGCAGAGCAGCCTTAAGAAGCAGCAGCTAAGGATGAAGTTCCGAAGTCCGATGGATCTGAGATGGAATTGCCCGTCCACTCCCTGGTGTGACCTCGAGGAGGCTGTTTAACCCCTCCAAGCCTCAGTTTCCTCTTCTCTGAAATGAGAACCATCATAGCACTTGCTTTAGAGCAGTGGTTCTCAAAGGGGTCCCCTCTCCGGCAGCAGCACTGCCAGGGTGCATATTAGAAACAGATTCCCAGGCCCCATCCCCAGCCTTTCTAAATCAGAAACCCTAGGGAAGGCCCAATGAGCTGTTTTTACAGGATTCCAGCAGGCACTCAAATCTGGGGGCCTCTGCCCGATTGGACTATTGGATGGAGCAGCTCCCCACCCTGTCTGTGTACCCCTCCTCCAGGTGCGGTTCCCTTCCCACTTCAGCTCTGACTTGAAGGACCTACTTCGGAACCTCCTGCAGGTGGATCTCACCAAGCGCTTCGGGAACCTCAAGAACGGGGTCAATGATATCAAGAACCACAAGTGGTTTGCCACGACTGACTGGATCGCCATCTACCAGAGGAAGGTGGGCCTCCCCTCCTCTAACATGCTTAGAGTTTGGGGGGAGGCCAAGTGGCAGGGAGGGCTGCCAGTGGAGAGATGGAAAGGGAAGAGACCACGGGTTCAGGGGCAACCTGGAGTAGGCAGCTTAGAGCCAGTGGGGTCTAGAAATGGGATTCTGGGGTCATTTGGCCACTGTGTGACCTTGGGCAAGAGATACCTCTCTGAGAAGTAATTTCCCCTTTGGTGAGTTGGCTGAGATAAGGATCTTGGATTATTAAGAAGCGTCACATCCTAATGCTAAGCACAGACCTGGGTTAGAGTAAATACTCTTGAATGTTAGGCCATTTGCATTTATTGTTGTAATAACGATTATGTTGACTACTGAGTCCTGGGTGATTCTTGATCCCTCTCCAGGTGGAAGCTCCCTTCATACCAAAGTTTAAAGGCCCTGGTGACACGAGTAACTTTGATGACTATGAGGAGGAAGAGATCCGGGTGTCCATCAATGAGAAGTGTGGCAAGGAGTTTTCTGAGTTTTAGGGGTGTGCCTGTGGCCCCACGGGTTTTCTTTTCTTTTTTTCCTTTTTTTTTTTTTGGTGGGGGGTGGGAGGGTTGGATTGAACAGCCAGATGGCCCCAGAGTTCCTTGCATCTAATTTCACCCCCCCACCTCTCCTTCGAGCCCTCCTGCACCTTCTACCACTTTCCCCCCCCCCGCCGACACCCCCCCCCAAGATCCACTTCTGCCTGTTTTAAATGAGTTTCTCAGCTCCAGTCAGACAAGGTCTTGCTGGTGTATCTCCAGGGACGGGCTGTGCAAAGAGGCCCAAACTTAACCTCCAGGCCCCACTGCACCCCAAACCCACCACAGGCACCCCTCACTAAGGGCGAATGAAGGAAAAGCCAACCTTCCCTTCAGAGCAACACTGCCTGCCTGGGAAGAGATTTTAGTGACATGTTCAGTGGGCTGCTTGCTAGAATTTTAAAAAAAAAAAATTTTAAATCTTATTTAAGTTCCACCAGTGCCTCCCTCCCCTCTTTCCTCTACCCTCCCCTCTCCCTTGCCCCCCTCCCCAAATCCATCTGAACAAGGCTGGGAAGCAGATTGACTTTGTCAAGGGAGGTGCTGGGGTTTGAACCTCTGCCCTGAGCTGCTAATCTCCCCTGCCCCCTTTTGGGGTGGTGGTGGGGGTCCTCTGCCAATCCTGCAAGGGTCTCAGCCCCTTTAGGAAGCCCCTACTACCCTCTCCAACAGACCTTTCTTCACCCCTGGGCTTTGGGAGCCAGACAAAGCAGCTGCCCCTCTCCCTACCAAAGAAGCCTCACCCCCCCCAAAAAAAAGACAGAGGGGGAGCCCCACGCCCAGAGTCTTTCCTCCCAGCAGCACTCCCCCCAAACTCCTTAATTTTATTCTCAGCCAGATACTAATGCCCAGCCTCCTCTCAACTCAGTTGGGAAGGCAACCCTGCAAAAAGGACATGGAAGGCAAAGTCCCCCTCCCCCGGCCCAGGGTTCAAGGCCAGGCTTGCTGGGGAGGGGCTGCCTGTTTTATTCACCCAGCAGCTTCTGGGGGGCCCCCCCCACCATCCTGGGCGCCCCTCCTCTAGCTTAGCCGACAGCTGTCCGTCACCTCTTCTTCCACCCCTGTCTGATTTGTGCTTTTTTCTCTCTCAATAGAAAAGTGGGGAGCCACCCCATTCATCCCTCAATTTGTCCCTGTCATAACTTCTCCCCATCCCAGGAGGGGCTCTCAGGCCTGGGGTGGGGCCCCGGGTGGGCGCGGGGGCGATTCAACCTGTGTGCTGCGAAGGACGAGACTTCCTCTTGAACAGTGTGCTGTTGTAAACATATTTGAAAACTATTACCAATAAAGTTTTGTTTAAAAAAAAAGTGTCGCTGGTGTTCTCGACTTCGGTCACCCACCCACACACCCCCAGGGGGTTGGCAAGGGAATTTCGGACCCCAGCGTCCAGGCTGATCATGTCCTGGCCTGGAGTCTTAGTGAAACCGGGTTTAGCAGGAATTCCGCCACTCCTCCCGCCCCGCAGTAGAAGGGGGCGCCAAACTGCCCTTTGACCCCCGGATTCGGGGTCCCCAAATCTGCAGCGCGCCCTCTCTGCGTCCAGCTCCGGGCCGAGAGGGCGCTCTAGGGAGACGCTGGGGCCGGCGCGCCGGGAGGCCGAGCGGCGGCGGGGGCGGCCCAGGCAGGGGGAGTTGAGGGGGGAGACGGTGCGCGCCCCCCTCCCCGAAGCCAAAGCGCGGGACCAGGCGCGCCGGAGGCGCGGAGGGGGCGGCGGCAGCCCGAGGGTCCCCGCAGAGCCCAGCGAGCGCGCCGGCCCCGGCCCGCAGGCGGCGAGTTCCCGGTAAGTGCGGTCCCGAGAGCGGAGCGCGCCGGGGAGGCGTGGAGAGGGGGGCTGGGCGCCGGGGACGTCTGGGTCCCGCGCCCAATGGCTGGAGGGCGGCCGAGCGCCGCCCGCCTGCCCTGCCCGCCCCCTCTCCCCTCCCCCCACTCCTTGAGAGGGGGTCTGACTGTGTTGCCCAGGCCAGAGTGCAGTGGGACGATGACAGCTCACTGTAACCTTG